TTATGTATGTATGTATATGCAGGATAGCTAACATAGTTGTACTACTGTTTTCTATTGCTTTACTGAAATGAACAGTTAATGATTACTTGTTTGATCAATCTTGCATGTCTCTATTTGTTTTCCTGAGAAACCACTTCGAAGATATCAGTATGTAATACAACAACCATTGTTAATTTCCTACAACTTTATCTGAAACTCTATATTGTTTGTATTGTTCTTATGCTAGTTTGTAAATGGCTGTCTGTTTGTTAATATGTTTTCCTTCTTTTATTTTTAAAATAATTTTAAAAAATCATTGCCTATACCAGTGGTGGCAAACCTATGGAATACATGTTATTCTTCTTTAAGGAATAGGTGTTAATATATGAGTTATTTTTTCTAAACTAATACCAAGTATTCAGGTTTAATTACAATATGGGGACTTTGTGATAAGTAAGAGGGTTTTGGGTTGCAGTGTGGGCACTCATCCCTAAAAGGTTCACCATCATGGGTTTATACTAATCCCTTGAAATCTTGCCCTCTGTTTTCCTTTAGTAGATTTATAATTTAAGGTTTTATATTTGGATTTTATTTTATTTTGAGTTTAAATGTTGATTTTTCTACCTGACAGTATCACTGATATTATTCTGTACCATCATATGAATTTTGGAAGTTAAACTTTAGTTTGGAATATTGGGTTAATATTTTCATAAAGATGTTATTTTATACATGCAGTTATTCCCCCCAAATATTGAGACTATTTCTGAGGGTAATTATTTTGATTCTAACTTCATAAACTTTCTTCTAGTTTTGTACCTTTAGAACTAAAGAGATTTCTATCTATATTAATTTATAGGTCCATATATTTCTAAACTGGGAAGAATCAGAGAATAAAAATGATTTGTTCCAGTAGGCTATCACTTTAGTTTCAGTGTAACTTTTTACCCCTGGATTTGCATTAAAATATTTAAATATATTAAACTATAACATATATCCTAGTAAATAGTTTAATATTTTGATCAGCCCTTTTAGTTTTTTAAACTTGTTAAACTTTGTTTTATATATTTAATTGGTAATATGTTGAATGGGTTTTATGAAGACATTATTTTTGAAATATAGTAAAAATTATATGGGTAATAAAATAATTGAATATGTTTCTTTTGTAATTATGGAAGATTCAGATTTGGATGAAATTTCTTCAAAGAAAAAGTTATCAAAGATAGCAAGATACGCTCTACGATATAAGAAGAAATACAGTTTACCTTCCAGCCTGACTGAATCATCAATGTCTAAAAATTTAATTAAGAAAATTCCCCAATATCATGGAAAAATTGTGGAAGAAAATGATTCTGAAATTAAACAATCAAAAAATTTTGGGCAAATAAGAAAATTTCCAGGTGAACCGTACTCAAAGAATGGCATGAATTTTAAAAAACATTCAGATAAATCTGAGAATTATGACTCAAGGTCTAAACTACAAAACTTGAAGAGTATTACAAACCTCAAAAAGTCTCTGGATAAAACTGATATTTCTGATATCCCCAAACTTCAGCAACCTGATGTGAGAAGGCATTCCACTCTCCTAAAACATGTTTCATCTAAGGAAAATACTTCAATGAATACCCTGGGTCAGTACCATATACATAAGTCAGAATCGAGGTCCTTGAGTTCTTTAGTTGTCACAGAAATGGGCAGTATTTATCTGTCATTAGATGTAAGCAGTTATCAGTCTCCTGAGTAACCAGCAGTTCTGATGCCTAGGCCAATGTATGTGATTTTACGGCTTTGATGTTGGTGCCTTTTTAGATGTCCCCTTTTGGGGGCGTTTAACCTTCTGTTATAAGCTTATTAAGTGATTAATTGGAGTAACTCAAATTCCCTAGAAAGGTGAGGGCCTATTTTCCTTTGAGAATATTTATGATTTATTTAAATGAATATGTAGAAAGTCTGAAATTTTTATTTAGAGTTCCCCCACTTTAATTCATAGTGCTTTACATACTATCTCTTATGGATGGAAAATAATATGACATATCTAATGTCACTAAAGCTTTTTGGTCTTCCTCAAAGATGAACAATACCTTTCCAACAAATGTGTGTACTTCTTTTTGTGCTACTTCTATCAAAATACCTGTGTTTTAAAAGAAACTTACTGAATTTTATATTGCATTTAGTATTTAATATGATAGTTATAATGGATGCCTCGTGAAAATTAAGTGATTCATACACTAATGTGTAATTGAAACAAGTCTGTTGAAAAACAGGTATGATCTATTAAGGAGGATTAAAGACTTTCATTCTGATTCCTTTTCTGATGTGCTGCTACTACTCTGTGCCTTCTTCTTCTGAGGGTTCCCTGTGTTTCAATAAAAATCAAAGCCCCGGAGTAATGGGATAATGTAGTAGTAGACATTCAGCAAGTGGGTAGACAAGTCTTCAAAGGAGTGCTATACACCTTCCTTGTGTAACTGAAATCAAATGATTTCATCCTTCACTGCTGTATTTATGTTCTGTACATAAAGAAGTATTAGATAGTTTATTTGGTATAACTTCCATAAAGAAACTGATGGTAATTGGGTGTCTATGAAATGTGAATAATGCAATGATTTGAATTTCAAAAATCTAACTTTTAATTTAAACTAATTTTGCATTTATAATTGTTGCAAAAGTGGAAAAAAATTCTCCTGATACACTCTAATTTTACCAAGTGTTAATGTCTTATGTTAGTACACAATGATCTAAACCAGGAAATCAACGTTGATACAACCCTACTTACTAATTTATAGACCTTATTCAAATTTTGTCACTTTCTATAAATGTCATTTTTTTGACCCAACATCTAATCCAGGACGACATATTACATTTAATTGTCATATTTTCTTAGATTCTTTCAGTCTGAGATGGTTCCTTAATTTTTTTCATCGCTGTGACACTTTTGAAGATTAGGGACTATCTAATGCCCTTCACTTTGGGTTTTCCTTATATTTCTTCTTTAATAAATTCAGGTTATAAAATTTTTGACTAGAATACCACAGAAGGATATTATACTATCTCATTTCATCATATTAAGAGGCTCATCATGTCCATGAGTACTGTATCTGCTTTTAGAGTTTTATTTTTTAAAGGTTGTGAACTGAATGCATGGTAAGGTAAATTTATGGGAAGGAAAAGAACTCTTAACTTTATGCTTGGACTTCTGTAATTTAAAAAATCAATGTTTTGATATATTTTAATCAGAAGCAAGCAGTTTTGTCTGTGTAAGAGCAGACCTTTTCTTCAAACTAATAGTTTATAAGTTTATAGAATTTTGAGGCAGTTTTGTGTTTGAACTAAAAGAGAAATAATATAAGACAACAAAAATACGGAGAGAAAAAGTCCTTCCATTTGGTAATATTGAAGAGATAAAACTTATTCTCTATTAAAATTTTAGGTACAAATGAAATAAACACAAATTCTGATACTTACCAGTCCTCTACCTTTCATATACTTAGAAAATGTCTGTGAAGCTATCAGTAAGCTCCAAGAAAATTACATTGCTCCAGAAGAACTCCAGTGCATTTTGCCTTCATTAGGAATTACTTTATTAGATGAAGACTTACAGAAGATTACGACAGAGACTACTAGCAATGGTAAGAGAATGATAACACCAAATTATGAGAAAATTATGTTTTCTTGGAATAGTTTTAACTATCAGAAGAGTTTCTCTCAATCAGGTATGGATCAGAATGGACCATTGTAAGGAAGATTAGGGAAGAAGAGATATAAAAATGGAAAACTATAAAAAAAATTCCTGAAAATTCTGACCTAATGAATTGATTTGGCAGAGTTAAGCCTTTCATAGCTCAGAATTATTTCAGTAAGGTTCTTCTGTTCTTTTCATAGCTGGGTATTCTAGAGGAGGCTGATGTAGCTATAGAGAGGTTCAGGTAATAAGACTACAACATCCAAGGGATATAAAAATCTCTAGGCAAGTACTCTAGGAGTTCAAGGGGGAAATAATTCGCGATTTTAAAATTTCGGGGAAGTTTAGAGCTTGTGATAAGGAAGGAAGGTGGTTACCACCAAGATGTTCGATGGCATATTTCAGTCACAAGCCTAATCTCAAGGAAGAATTTAAATTTCTAATTTAATTTCTTGTGCTAGAAAAGTTGTTTTATTAGTAACTAAAAATTATACAAAGCAGAAGCTCAATTGAGGAGAGGGAAGAGGAGATACTTTGGGGAAAGACTGACTTGGAGATAACATTAGATATGAATTCTCAGAACCTGGGCACAGTTTCTTAGCTCAGACAAATAGGATAGGAGATTTATGTGTGTATCTACGTCTATCTATATTTACCTAATAAGTCATTAAACCATTTCTATTGTTTATCAGGATTAGTACAAAAACTATGGGAAGTTTATACCTAAAATGGTTAATTGGACCATATGGATGCTAGGCATGTGGATGGGGATATGTGGATCTGTCAGGGCTGGTTAATATTGTCCAGGTATCTTAATGGATAACATATTGACTGGTTCTTATGATGGTATAAAATAGACTCCCTAACATTCTAATAGCCCACCTACAGAGACACTTTTTCTTTTACTCATATTAAGAATTTAGTATCTAATTCAGTCCTTAGTGTGTAACAGTTACTGAAAAGCAGGAACTGTGTCTTACTTATTTTTGTGTCTGTGGTGCTTAACATAGTTTTTGGGAGTAATATACCCTAAATAATTGTTGAAATAAAATGAACTGACCAAATTTAGAAATGTTGATCTTCAGACAGAATATGAATATGAAACAGGGTGATGAGATGAAAGATCTTCTTTTTTAAATAGTTAAAATGTAAATCTACCCTTTTGCCAAGTTACAACAGAATATATAATCAAAACTCTTTATTTTACAGAAAATGGAATGGTGAATTTAGATGACTTTATGATGGCTCTCTGCAAAGAGCAAAGTCCTTCTGAATATGATGGTAGGTAGGAAATGTATTTCAAGTGATTTGGAAGAAAGAGCAGTTAGATTGAGATAACTTACATTCAGTTGAACTGAGCTAGCTTTTGGATAAATACTTAATACCCCTATGACCTTTAGGCAGTTTTTCAATTTAATTTTTTTATTTTAAAGAGATCCAAAATAAAAAAATAAAAATGATACAGAATGTCAAACCGAGATGATAAGAAATCAACAATGGTTGTTTTATTGCATATTGTTATCTTCAAGGTAGTTATTCAGATTACCAAATGTAGGGCATGCAAAATTGATAAAAAAATTAAGCATTCACTGTTCCTTTCAATAAACCAATAGGAGTTACTAGTATAATTATCTTATATATTTTTTCTCTTTCTTTTTCTTTTTTTCTTTCTCCTTCTCTTTCTTTCTCTCTTTCTTTCTTTCCTTCCTTCCTTTCCCTCATCCTAGTTATTCGTTCCTTTTGAACAGATTTTTTCCCTTTCACAATATCTACTGTACCTTTTGTATTTTATTTACTCTTTCAGCTTCTTACACTAGGGAGACAATAATGATGTTTACACATGTGGTCTGATTTATTTCACTTATGTTTATGGTCGCTAGTTGCATTCATTTACCTATAAAACCCTCACATTTATCTTTCTGTATAGCTGAGTACTACTCCATTGTATAAAAATACCACATCTTTGTTATCCATTCATCAGTTGATGTGCATCTGAGTTGTTTCCAAGATTTAGCTATGACAAATTGTGCTGCTATAAGCATGGGTGCACATATATCGCTGTGGTGTGATGTTTTCAATTCTTATTGGAAAATATCCAGCAGGGGAATGGTTGGGTTGAATGGGACCTCTAATCCTAGTTTTTTGAGGAATCTCCACACTGATTACCACAGTGGTTGTACCAGCCTACACTGTCACCAACTTTGGAGAACTTTGTTCCTTTTTGCCCAAAGCTCAATCAGCATTTGTTATTGGTTGATTTCTTGATTTCTAGGGTAAGATGGAACCCCAGTGTTGTTTTAATTTGCATTTCTTGAATGACCAATGGTGTTGAACGTTTTTAATATGTTTATTTGCTGTTTGTATTTCTTCATCTGAGAAATTTTGGGGGCATGATTTTTTGTAATAATTTGTATGTTTTAGATAGAAGTCCTTTGTCTGAGGGACAGTTGGCTAAAAATTTTCCCAATTCATGGATTTTATTTATGCTGTGCTGGTGATTTCTTTTGATGTGCAAAAGCTTTTCAATAAGATGAGATCCCAGTTGTCGATTCTTTGAAGTATTGGTTTTTGTGCATGAACTTTCTGCCTATCCCTATGTCTTCAAGATTTCTACCTACTTTCTCTTCCAGGATATTTAGTGTTTCTGTTTCAATAATTAGATCTTTGATGCATTTTTCACTTTACTTTAGTGTATGGTGATAGACATGGGTCTAATTTTAGTCTTTGGCATGTGGAAAGCCAGTTTTTCCAGCACTATTTAGTAAAGAGGCTAGCTTTCTTCCAGTGCACATGTTTGGCCCTTTTGTCAAAGATAAGGTGGCTGAGTGTATTTGTAGTTGTGTCTGCATCTTCTAATCTGTTCCATTGATCTTCAGGTCTGTTTTTTTGCCAGTACCATGCTGATTTTATCACAGTAGCCTTGTAATATAATTTCAAATAAGGGATTTTGATGCCTTCTGCCTTGCCTTTGTTGCCCAGGGTTGCCTTCACTATTCTATGTCTCTTCTGATTCCAGATGAATTTTAGGAATGTTTTCTCTAGATCTGTGAGGTATGCTAATGGTATTTTGATTGGGATTGCATTGAATCTGTATAACAGTTTTGGGAATACGGCCATTTTCACAATGTTGGTTTTTCCTCTCCATGAGGAAGAATTATCTTTGCATTTTCTGATATCCTGTTCAGTCTCTTTTTTCAGAGTACTGTAATTTTCACTGTGTAAGTCTTTTACTTCCTTTGTTATACTGATTCCTAAGTATTTCATTTTTTGAAGCTATTGTGAAGGGTGTGGTTTCCCTAATTTCTCCCTCAGTGAATTTGTTGTTTGTAATTTTTGAGTGTTGGCTTTCTATCCAGCCACACTGCTGAATTTGGTTATTAAATGCTTAGGCTTTCTGGTGGAGTTTTTGGGGTCTTCTATATACAGTATCATGTAACCTGCAAATAATGATAATTTCACTTCTTCCTTTCCTATCCTTATTCCTTTTATTTCTCTCTCTTGTCTAATTGCTCTGGCTACTATTTACAGAGGTATATTTAATAGGAGTGGTGATAGTGGACATCCTTATTCCTGATCTTAAAGTGAAAGCTTTCAGTTTTTGTCCATTTAGTATGATGTTAGTTGTTGGTTTGTCATAGCTTTTATCAGATTGAGGTAACGACCATCTATTCTTATTTTCTGTTGCATTTTCATCATGAATGAGTGTTGGACTTTATCACAAACTTTTTCTGCATCTATTGAGATGATGGTGTATTACATTTAATCATTTGTGTATGTTGAACTATCTGTGCATTCCAGTTGGTCATGGTGTATAATCTTGATGATTTTCTGAATTCTGTTTGCTAGTATTTTATTGAGGATTTTTGCATCTATGTTCATTAGGGAGATTGGCCTGTAGTTCTCTTTTTTGGTTGGTCTTTCTCTGGTTTTGGTATCTGGGTATTCTTGCAGCCAGGAATGAGTTAGGATGAATTACTTCCCTTTCAATTTCATTAAAGATTTTGAGAAGAATTGGCATTAAATCTCTAAATTTCCTGTAGAATTTACGTATGAATCTATCAGGACCTGGGCTTTTCTTTATTGGTAAGTTTTTAATTACATTTTCAATTTCTTTAACTGATATTGGATCATTCAGGACTTTTGTATCTTCTTGGTTCAGCTTTAGTAATTCATATATATCTAGGAATCTGTCCATTTCTTCTGTTTTCCATCCTATGAGAGTAAGGTTTTTCAAAGTAGGTATTAATGATTTTCTGAATTTCCACAGGATCTGTAGTGATTTCATCCTTTTCATTCCTTAATGCATGAATTGGAGTTTTTTCTTTCCTTTCTTTTGATAAGGTTTCCTAGGGGTTTATCAGTTTTATTTATTACTTCAAAGAACCAACCCTTCAATTCATTAATTCTTTATATTGTTTTCTTAGTCTCCATTGTTTTAATTTCTGCTCTGATGTTTATAATTTCCTCCTGTCTTTGGGCTTTGGATTTGACTTGGTCTTCTTTTTCTAGAAGCTTGAGGTGCAGCATAAGGTTGTTTATTTTGCTCCTTCTGTTTACCTGATGAGAGAATTCACTGCTATAAATTTCAGTCTAAGTACTGCTTTCATTGCATCCCACAGGTTCCAGTAAGTTGTATCTGCATTTTTGTTTGATTATGAGTGTTGTTTAATTTCATCTGTGACCAAGTCATTGTTCAGGAGGTTGTTATTTAATTTCCATGTGTTTATGGAGCTTTTGTGATTTTTTTTTTTGTCAATAATTTCTAATTCTATTGCACTATGGTCAGATAATGTGCATGGGATTATTTCAATTCCTTTGCATTTACTTAAGCATTTTCTGTGGAGTAGTGTATGGTGTATTTTAGAGAATGTCCATGTGCAGCTGAGAAGAATGTGTATTCTGATATTGTTGGATGGAAAACTATAAACGTCTACTAAGTCCATTTGATGATAAGTTTGGCTCAGTTCTGTTATTACATTGCTGATATTTTCTCTAGATGATCTATCTTTTTGTGACAGTGGGGAGTTAAAGTCCCCTATTATGACTGTGTTTTTATTTTTTTGATTTTTCATGTCCATTACTATTTGTCTTATATAATTGGGTGCTCCTGTATTTGTGGATATATATCTGTGATTGTTATCTCTTCCTTTTGCGGTTTTTCCCTAACAAGTATATAGTGTCCTTCTTTGTCTCTTTTGATCATTCTTGGTTTGAAGTTTACATTGTCTGCAAATAGAATAGCTACCCCTGCTTTTTTCTGGATTCTTGTCACATGGAATATTGTTTTCCATGCTTTGACTATCAGTCTATAGATTTCCTTTTGAGTTAAATGTGTTTCTTTTATACAGCATATTGTTGGATTTTGTTTCTTGATCTGCTCTGCCAGTGTGTTTCTTTTGATTGGTGAATTGAGGCCATTTACATTAATGGTTATTACTGTTATGTATTGGCTTATCTTTGTCATGTTCTTTTCCTGCTGGTGGTTCCCTACTTTTCCCCTTGTTTAATTGCTTTCCCTGCCTGGCAGTTTCTTTCTTCTTTCAGTACTCTTTGTAGGGTTAGTTTGGTGGTCATGAGTTTCTTCATTTGTTTTTTTCTCATGGAAGTAGTATCTTATTTCTCCATTAGTTTTAAGAGATAGTTTTGCAGGGTACATCAATCTGCATTGGAAATTGTTTTCTTTCAGGACATGAAATACGTCACTCCAAGTTCTTCTTGAGTTGATGGTTTGTTTTGAGAAATCTTCCATGATTCTGATGTGCTTTTCTTTAGAGGTGATCTGTTTCTTTTCTCTAACAGCTTTTAATAGTCTATTCTTGTGCTGCATTTCTGGGATCTTGATTATTACATGTCTTAATGTAGGTTTATTTTGGTTATGTCTAATTGGAGTTCTATATGCCTCACTTATTATATAGATGTCACATTCTTCTCCCATGCTTGAGATATTTTGTGCTATTCTGCAAATAGTCTATTTATATCATTTGTGTTGACGCCTGCTTTTTCATTGACACATATCAGTCTTATTTTGTTTTTCTTTCCATCATCTTCCAGCTATTGAATTGTTATGTACTGGTTCCTTGTTATTTTTGAGAGATCTTTCCTTTCATGATCTCTATGCTGCAATCCTGTCTTCAAAGGTCTGAAAGTCTATCTTCAGTTTCGTTCAAGTGGTTTTGCTAGCTTTGAATGGAATTTTTAATTTTTTGGATATCACTTTGAATCTGTTTCATGCATTCTAATTATTTCCTAATTTTTCATTCAGGGTTTCTATTGTTTTTCTA